TCTCTAGAACTCATATCTGTTGGTGAAAACGGAGAGCACACAAAAGTTATTGTTAATATTACTTAATTTGAAAAGAATAGAATGAAGTTGAGAGAAAAAATATCAGTGCAGTCAGTGTGACCCATGAAGGTCGAGCCTAGTAGTAATAGGGAAACCTTGAAGACGTGTTTGTGTTTTTTTTTATCTTTATCTTATTTTTTTTATTCCATTTACACAAATATTATTCACAAATAAAGACAGAGATTAATGTTTATAAATGACTATGTTAAGTGTCATCATTGTTCAAGCAATGTGCATGATAACGAGCTTTGAAAAAAACAATCATTTATAAGATATATTAAAAGTAGTATGTTACTTGACACAGAGTTGTCGACAAAGTAACAACTATTGAACAAAAAAGTTTATGTATTGAATGGTCGAGATCCAACCAATGAGTACAAAAATTAATGATCTTATTTTTATCATTATTATTATTAGCGTATCAAAAATTCAGGTATTTAATATTGTAAAACGAATTAGCAAATTGTAATAAATTAAGTTTAAAAAAAATTCAATTTAATGAGATTTTTAGAAAAATCTTAAGACCATGTCTCAATAATATTATATTAAAAAAAAACTTAAATTGTGGCGAGATTTTTTAATAATTAAAAAAACAAAATAAATTATAAGATGATTTATAAGTACAATAGAAAATAAAACTAGATGAGTGAAAGAAAAATGAACAAAATAAAAGGTGAAATGTATATGTAAGTTTTAATTCTCAACTAAGGATGAAGACAAAAGGAAACAGTGATTGTGACTCATACCTTTTTGTTAAATTAAAAACTGATGAGACAAGAGCGACCTCGATCTGATTTGAACTTGTAACCTCCCGATCTTCTAAGTATTCCCTTGAATCTTCAATCAGAACGTGGTGTGCGGGCGACGGGTACGTTATTTTCAATCAGACCGACCAGGTACCTTACTCAGCTATCCACCTTCTTCAAATCTTTTTAACCTTGAAATGGAAAGATCTAATTTTTATATTTTAGGGTACATGACCAAGAGTCCTTCAAGTCTTTCATATATCTTATTGTTAGATTGAAAACTTGGCAAGACAGAGCAATCTGAATCTGATTTTAACTAGTAACTTTTGGATCTTCTGTTGTATTCTTTTGCTCTTCAATTTGGACATCGTGTGGGGAATAGGACGATCTTCCAAGCAATTTTGATGTCTTACTTGGCTGCCCACTTTCTTCAAATCTTCTCAACCTTGAGATGGAAGTATCTAAAACTTTTAGTGTCAGTAGAAATTTTGAAATGGAAAAATATAGTTTCAATGTGTCTGGTAGCAACTTTGAGAAGGAAGAATATGATTTTAGTGTATTCTAGGGCAAGTGACCAAAAAAATCTTTTTGCACAGATAAGCCTCTCTGTGCATTACAATTCATATGTTTCGTCCAAACACATTGCTCAAGCCCATCAATGTATTTTTTTGAACTACCATCTTAAATTCAAATAAGATTATTGGTTCCTTTCCTAATATCTACCCTTTTGTCTAGCCAAGCTTAAATATTACATGTTCATTAGTTTAATTATATTATAGACAATTTAACTAATTAATATTTTATTTTAAGAGCAATGTCATTCAATTTTATTAAATTTATGTATTGTATACAAAATAATCTTTATAAATTTTTTTGTGAGGATATCATCATCATCCTAAAAATAGGACATAAGATAAAGTCGATATTATTAATATTTGGGGCCATTTGCATTAACTTAGAAAAGAAGTAAAGTCCAAAAACAAAAGTTTAAAGCAGTTAAATTTTTATAAAAACAACTTAAAAAAAAAATGATTGGATATAAAGTTGAAAATGCTACTGTAAAAATTTTCCATAAGGACACGTTAATATGCTTGTAATTTACGATTAAACTTCTATAATTTATTTTTAATTTTTATTAACTATAGTAAATAATTATATTATTATACAACAAATTTACACTTCATGCTACAAATTAATTACATTATTAACGGAAAAATTTATATTTCAGCTATAAATCTTTCATGCTTGTATTTTTATAATAGTTTGATACAATACTTATCAGATAAAATATTATACTTTTTTATTTATAAAAATTGGAAGAGTTATATACTAATAAAACAGAAAAAAAAATTGATAAATAGCCTTAAAATTTAAACAAACAAAACACGAACAAACATGTCTTCCTTTTTACAGACTCCAAGCCATACACACTCGATGGTGCCTTCAGCAACATATAAGTGAACAATGTTATTAGATAAGTAAGTCTACTTATCATACCATCTCCACCTATCCCTCTCAGATTGTCTTTATGAATTCCTCGGAACAATGTTAGAAGATAAGTAAGTCTACTTATCATACCATCTCCACCTACCCCTCTCTGATTGTCTTTAAAGAATTCCTCGGTTCAGCTCCGAAAAATTTGCAAATAATTACTCAGACAGTCATTGTTCTAGAGGAATGAGAAACTGCAAGTTGGCTATCATTTGCTCAGTTCTTACGAAATAGATAATAGCAAATCAATGAATGCTCCGTTGACGACCCAGGGGATCGGCAGAGTGGAGAGATTTTTGGCAAGGCAGCAGCGAGATAATATTGCTACAACAGATCAAGGTGTGTTTTAATTTTTGTAATATTTTTGTTTGTTTATCGGTACAACTTCAAGGGAGAAAAATTGATTTCTTCGACACGGTTGCAGATTCTGAAATGGAAGCGAGGATCTTCCCACTATGACGACGACTGGATCTGACAATAAGGTGCGAAGAAAGTTCAAAAAAAAAAAAGAAAGTGACACTACAGATGACAACATGCCTGCGGGGGCTTCAGGGCGGCGCAGCATCAGACCTTCAAAAGGAAGGGCTGCAGTGACCTCTCATCGGAGGAAGACGAAGAAGAGGAGGCTGTCTTTTCCTGTTTTTCAGAATTTGTGAAGATAAGTTTTATATATAAACTTTGAAGTGTCTATTCAAGAAAAGATGCACCTTTCAGATTTAAATACATCTTTTCTTGAATAGACATTTCAAAGTTTATTATATAAAACTTATCTTCACAAATTCTGAAAAAGAGGAAATGGACAAAAAAAATAATGTTGTCTGCGGAATAAATCTGTTTGCGCAAATAATCTCCCAACGTTTACTTGCTCGATTTTTCGCCTAAAATTCAAGTGTTACTTTGTTTTATCGTCGTACGAATTTCGTGTAACCCGGGCGTTAATAGGGTCAAAATATCGTATAAGGAAAGCGAATCGACACGGCTCAAAGTGTATCCAAGATCGTGTATACCCTGCGGAATTTGATTTGTTCGTATTTTCATTCAAATCCAGATTATTTTTCCAACAATCTTATACGATAATTTCGGACGGTCATGGATGGGATACTTTGGCGGATATGAAAATGAAATTTGGAAAGATGTCCAAATTTGAGGATATTGGAATCTATTATTTCCAATGATCAAATCGATAGAATTGATTTTTAAATTTTGAAAAATGAATCCGATGTGGGTTCATAATTTTTATTTAAGAGAATAAAAATTTGCATCTCCAAAAGAATGCACACAATTATTTTATTCGGTTGGAGAGACAGCCGGCAATATATTTCGGCTTGCCTGCAGTGCAATTGATCATCGATCATGTAACGATTAAAAAGAGAAAAAGAAAAAAATATGCAGATTCTTGTCTGCAGAATTAATTTGTGTGTGCAAATAATCTCCCAACTTTTACTTGCTCGATTTTTCGCCTAAAATTCGAGTGTTGCTTTGTTTTATCCTCATACGAATTTCGTGTAATCCGGGGCGTTAATAGGGTCGAAATATTGTATAAGGAAAGCGACTCTACTCGACTCAAAGTATAAATTTGATTTGTTTGTATTTTCATTCAATCCGGATTATTTATCCATCATTTTCTTCTAATTTTTCATAAGATCTGTTCAATTTTCCTTCATTCGCCATTAGAAACTCATCAATTCATCAAGTGTATAAGTTGACAGGTTATTACTTTCCTCAATTGCAGCGACAACCTAATCATATTTTGGAATCATACTTTTGAGAACCTTACTGACACCAATCTGATTATTGACCGATCCGGATTCTCTATAATACTTCATCTAGTTGATCGATAGTTTCTTACATGTATTCTTGGACTGATTCTTTTTCTTTCATACTCAGTGTTTCAAAATCACACCGAAGGGTTTGCAATTTAATCGTAAGTACTTTGTTGTCACCGAAATATTCTTGCTTCCGAATATCCCGCGCCATCCTGGATGTTCTAGCAGCAACAGTACTGTGCAAAAATATCATCCTGTAATGCCGATTGGATGAGTAGCAGTGCCATTGTATCCTTTCTACGATTTTCCCGCAATTGTTGATCTTGTGCCGCAGGAGTCGGATCTAGGTCATCAATTCCTATTTCAACCAAATCTTACAATTCTTGAGACTTGAATAGAGTTTTCATTTTCAAACTCCAAAAATGGTACTTCTCTCCTTTGAAAATTAGAATTAATGGTTGAATTGAAGAATTTCCGTCTGACATTTTGCATACGAACAAAAAAATTTCAAAAATCTACACTTCTGAAAAAAAAAAAAAAAAAATGACACAAGCACAGGCCCTCACTTTCTTTGTTGTGGAGAAGACGGACCAAAAATCTAGAATATATTCGCTCTAGGAGAATTTTTTTCTTTTTGTTTCTGCTTTTAATTTTAATACAATAAATCTGATACAATAATTACTCAATATTATAAATTCAAATTTTAAACCAACTATTGCAACGCCTAATATAACTTAATACAACTTCTAAAATATATGCACGGTATTATTTATTTAATAACAATAACATTTTGAAACACTTAAAAAACATTAAAAAAATTTTATACATCACAATATATATAATATACAGTTGATATAGTACATAAAAAATGGCTATCAAGAATTACAGATGAATTTTCTAGACGAAGCGAAGAACCAAAACATCACTCAAAGTACGCTCACCTCCGGTAGACAGCTGCGACATTTTCTTTCAACAGTAGAGTTTCCAGAAACATGTCTCCGCACGCATCAACGTGGACAGGCTCCATTTCGAAGTTGTCCTGACCCCTGCGCTCATCCCATTCGAACCACATCTTGGCGATGGATTCCTTCTTGAAGCATGCAGCATGGTCCGCCTCTTCAAGTGAGCCGGTCGCGATCAACCGGTAAGTATAAACCTTCCTCGTCTGTCCCGGCCGGAACGCCCTTCCTATCGCCTGCCGGGTCACTGAGGGGTTCAGGTGAACGTCGAGGATGAGAATGCGAGAAGCCCCGATGAGTGAGATTCCCTCGCCGCATGCCTTGACAGAACCGAAGAAGACTCTGGCTGCCGGGGACTGATTGAATTGCTCCATCACAGACTCCCGAGCATCTGTGTCGGAGTCGCCTGTAATCACGAACATCTCGCGGCCAACACTGTAGCCCTTCAATTTACTGGTCATTATCTCCAGAAATTTCAGGGGCAACAGAAAGTTGCCGAAGACGATCAGCTTCTCTCCGGTGGATTCGCAAAGCTGGAGGAGATTTATATAGAAGCTAAGCTTTGCCCCGTCACGAATGTCTAGCTTCTCTAATAATGGGTGAATTCTCCCCTCGTCCACTCTGCCTCTTCCACCAGAGTTCTTCGCGACCTCCTTCAGGATCGGGTGTACATAAATGGGACTTGCGAGTGCACTAATTGCGAACCTGTTCTGCAAATTTTTCATCTCCTCAACTTCTGATCGTTGCGCAGGACTGAGCTCCAGGAAGACAGCCAAATCTACAAGTCCAGGAAGTTCTTCAAGGTTGTCCCCCTTGTAGTAGTGCAGGACCTTCCTAGTCATCTCGCGCAAATCTTGTATCAGAGCCACTTTTCGGCTGCGATTCTCATCCTTTATCAAGCAGTCTTCTATCGTCTTGTAGAAGCCGCCGTTGCCTCTACCAAGTTTACTCAGACTCCGACTGCTAGAAATCTCAGCCCTGCTCACGATCCGCCTCAAAATTATTTTAGAATCTTCCATCATAAGAAAATTTGGGCGGACCAGATCTAAAATGCTGAAAACTTCTCTCACGCTGTTTTGATAAAGAGTACCCGAAAGAACAACCTTTCTTGTGGTTTCAATGCTCCCAAGAGACCTCAGAATAGCGGTGTCTGGGTTCCGCGGTGTATGCCCTTCATCGAGGATGACGATTGAAGGGACTTTAAGCAAATAACTTTTGCAAGCCAAAGGAGCTGGCCTGTCATCAACATCGCAGACGATGGAAGAAAACTGCTTGTACCCTAAAAACAGAATGCTCCTCCTTTCGGCCCATTCCTTCAGAACTTGAAGCTGCTGGCCACGATTGTCTGCCTTAACTGAGTAGAAGTCGTAGAGGGGTATCTCTTCGATCTGCCATGTAAGAAACTCCTTCTTCCAGACGGGCAGAATCCCCCGGGGAAGCACAACCAGGGGCCGAGCTGCAGGATACTTCGCCATGAAGCTCTGAAGGAAACTGATGATCATGAATGTCTTACCGGAGCCCGGAGCATGAGCCATGATACAACCTCCGGGGTTCTCAGACATTACATTGCTCGCAAGAAAATTGAATCCCTCAACTTGATGAGGTTTCATCTCCCTCCGGTGTCGCGGGTGTGGATGCATATCAGCAGCAATAAAATCATTATTATTGGGTAAATCTAAACCATCCGACAAGGTTTCTGATTGATCATGCCCTCCGGGATTCCGCCCTCCATAACTTCGAGTTCGGGAACTTGTCTGGGCCTGCATTTAAGTATTGCATGCAAATTAGTCGTCTCAGCTTGTTCTTCCTGACTACAAGATTTTAGAAGTATTGCAATAGGTCTTTAATTAATCATATAAAAGGAAATAAGATGATTGTAACACAAGAAAGCTAGGTTATAACTATGACAATTCATACTAATTAATAAAGAGAGTTGTGATATGACTAAATATAATTTTAAAGTAATTTTGATTTTAGATTAATTTGGGAAAAGCGTAAAATTGAATAGAAAAGGAATTTAAAGAAACTTTTGGTATGGCTAAATATATTTTTTGATTTTGAATTAATTTAGAAATTGCAAATAAATTGAATACAAGTTCATATTTGATGTTTAATAAAAAGGCTTGAATGTGATGTTTCGAAAGTACATTACATATTTCATGTTTCTTTTTAGTGAAAACAAAGTTTGACGAATAGTATGGAAATAAAAGGTTTCGTAAGAAGCCGAGTAACTGAAACAATACAGTACAACATAGTAAATGCAAAGCCATACCTTGGAGAAATTATATTCGACAATTGTTTCAATTGGCCTTTTAATCACCCCACAAATGCGACAAACATCGCCTATATCATCTTTGAATATAAAAGAATGGTCACAGTCTTCTTCACCCTCACCGCCATTTTTCGCATGCAAAGTAGGTTCAAAAACATCCTGCAACAAGTCCAACAAAAAATTGAATATATGTATATAAACTTCGAATGAAACTGATATGGTGATCTTATTAAACGTAAATGTAAACATGAAAGCCTCTAAAATAAAACCAAATGTACATCTAAAATAAATGTGTAATTCTAAATGTGACAGAGAAAGTGTTACCACCTTCGCGCACTCCATTGCAACTGCCATCTCGCTCCACACGTCGCCCAGGTCATCGAAACTGACATCCGGAGTCTCTTCACTTTCCAGCTGGCTTTCATCATCCGAGCCATCATCCTCCCTTTCAGAGTTTGCCAGCTCGGGCTCATCGAACAAAGGTTTATCAAACAACTGATAAAGTTGGTCCTGAATGAATTGTCGTCTCTGCAAGTAGATATTATAGTATCATCAATAGGTAAAAAAATGTCACCTGGTAGCAGTGTTAAGAAAGTGAATACTGTGTAAATTGCCTTGGTCGAGTAATAAGTTGATTATGGGTACGAATGTTCAGAAATAAATTACCTCAGGATCTTGCATTGGAAAATTTGTACAATGCTCAGAAATGTCAGCTTCAGGTTCGACGTTCTCAGTCCACTCTTCTGTGTCTTGGTCATCTGAATCACTGATAATGATAATTTCAGGATGAGGGCCTGCAGGGATCGGAATTTCATATTCCCTTCCGAATAAGCGCTCATGTAATTGGCGTCTATGAATTTCTAACTCACTGCTATATTCACTTAAGTTTTCGTCTTTTCCCTCGTCCAGCCCTTCTAGAATCCTTCCCGTGACTATTGATTCACGGTCATTTACAATGGGGGGCGTTCGTTCTCTGTTGGACTGAGATCCCCTTGAATTCGAACGTGCATTATCACTGGATTCGACTCCTCGATCCGTTTTCATCCTTTTTTTGTCCCTAGAACTCATATCTATTGATGAAAAGGGAGAGCACACAAAAGTTATTGTTAGTATTACTTAATTTGAAAAGAATAGAATGAAGTTGGGAGAAAATAGCAGTGCAATCAGTGTGACACATGAAGGTCGAGCCTGGTAGTAATAAGGAAACCTTGAAGACGTGTTTGTGTTTTTCTTTATCTTTATCTCATTTTTATTATTCTATTTACACATTAATATTATTCACAAACCAAGACAAAGATTAATTTTTATAAATAACTATGTTAAGTGTCATCATTGTTCAAGCAATGTGCATGATAGTGAGCTTTGAAGAAACAATCATTTATAAGATATATTAGAAGAAGTAGTTTGTTACTTCACATGTAGAGTTCTCGACAAAGTAACAGCTATTGAACAAAAAAGTTAATACATTGATTGGTCGAGATCCAAGGAATGCTTACAAAAATTAATGATCTTATTTTTATCATCATCTTTATTATTATTATTATTATTGTTATTAACTTATCACAAATTCAAGTATTTAATATTGTAAAACAAATTAGCAAATTATAATAAATTAAGTTGTAAAAAAAAATACATTTTTAATGAGATTTATGATTATTAAAAAAAATTGGATGCAATGTCTCAATAACTTTATATTAAAAAAAATAAAAATAAAACACTTAAATTGTGGCGAGATTTTTTAAAAAATAAAAAAAAAATAAATTATTTAGACGGTTCATAATACCATAGAAAATGAAACTAGATGAGTGAAAGAAAAATGAAAAAAATAAAAGGTGAAATGTATATGTAAGCTTTAATTCTCAATTAAGAATGAAGACACAAAGGAAATAGCGATTGTGACTAGTACCTTTTTCTTAAATTGAAAATTGATAGACAAGAGCGATCCAGATCAGATTTGATTTGAACCTGTAACCTCTCAATCAGAACGTCTTGTGGGCCACGGGCTACGGGTCTTACTCAGCTATCTATCTTTTTCAAATCTTCTTAACTTTAAGATGGAAAGATCTAGTTTTTATATTTTAGGGTAGATGACAAGAGTCCTTCAAATCTTCACATATCTTTTTGTCAGATTGAAAACTTGTGAAGACAGGAGCAATCTCGATCCGTAACTTCTGAATATTCTACTGTATTCCTTTACTCTTCAATTTGGATATCGTGTGGGCGACAGGGACGATCCTCCAAGGAATTTTGATGTCTTACTGCTGCCCACTTTCTTCGGATCTTCTCAACCTTGAGATGAAAGTATCTGAAACTTTCAGTGTGTTTTAAGGAAGAAACTTTGAAATTGAAAAATCTAGTTTCAATGTGTCTTGGATAGGAACTTTGAGAATAAAGAATCTGATTTGAGTGTATTTTTTAGGGTAAGTGACCAAAAGATCTTTTTCACAGGTAAGCATCTTTGGGTATTTAAAATTCAAATGTTTGGGCCAGACACACTGTTTAACCCATCAACAATAATTTGGTTTTCTAGAAAATATTTCTTTGAACTACCATCTTAAATTCAAATAAGATTATTGGTTCATTCCTTAATATCTACCGTTTTGTCTAGCCATGCTTAAAATATCACATATTCATTAGTTTAATTATTTTATAGACAATTTAACTAATTAATATTTTATTTTAAGAGCATTGCCATTCAATTTTATTAAATATATTTTGAAAGTATTTTTTGTCATAGATTAATGTAAAATAAAAAAAAAAAATAGAGAATTGAATATGAAGACGCTTCTGATATGGCTAAATCTATTTTGTGATTTTGGATAGTTTAGAAATAATAAAAAATTCAATACGAATAGAAATTTAAAATTATATATAAAAAAGAATTGAATGTTTTTGAAAATATATTGTCGTATATTTTATATTTGTTTTTCGAGAAATCCAAATTTGATTAGGAGTGTTAAAAGAATTTTGAAACATAAATATACAGAAGTTTCAAAAGAAATTGAGTAATTAATAACTATAAGCTACGACATAGTGAATGAAAATCCATACCTTCGAGAACTTATATTCGATAATTGATTCAATTGGCATTTAACTCACTCCACAAATGTGAAAACATTGCCGATATCATGTTGGAATATAAAAGAGTACTCACACTAATCTTCATCCTCACCACCCTTTTTCTCATAATGCTGTGTAGGTTCCAAAACATCCTGAAACATCGAACAAAAAACTAAATATATATATGCTGATCCTATTTAGCATAAATGTAAATATGCCAGCCTCGAGAACAAAACCAAATGTACTACTAAAATAAATAGGTAATTCTAAATGTTTAAGAGAAAGTGTTACCCACTTCGCACACTCCATTGCAACTGCCATCTCGCTCCACATGTCGCCCAGGTCACCGAAACTGACATCCGGAGTCTCTTCACTTTCCTGCTCGCTTGCATCATCCGAGCCATCATCCTCGCTTTTAGAGTTTTCAAGGTCAAGCACATTGAACAAAGGTGTGTCGAACAAATGATAAAATAGGTCTTGAATGAATTGTCGTCTCTGCAAGATATTATAACCGTATCAGCAATATGTAAAAAATAAATTGCATCCGCAGTAGCAGTGTTAATTAAGTGAATAGTGTGTAAATTGCGCTGGTCAATTAATAAGTTGATTATGGGTACCAATGTTCGGAATTAAGCTACCTCAGGATCTTGCATTGGTGAACTTGTACAATGCTCAGACATGTCAGCTTGAGGTTTGACGTCCTCAGTACACTCGTCTGTGTCATCGTCATGTTAATCACTGATAATGATAATTTCAGGATGAGGGCTTGCAGGGCTCCGAACAAATAACTTCATTCTGGAAAAGTGCTCGAATACTTGGCGTCTATGAATGGCTAACTCACTCCTATCTTCACTTAGGCGTTCGTTTTTTCCCATGTCCAACCCTTATGAAAATTTGTGAATTTATATCTCCAATCAATACTACTGGAAGCAAGAATATCAAATAAAACCAAAACAATATTAAACCCAATGAAATTGAAATAACAACATTGTAAGGCCAAATTAATTTTCTCAAGTATGGAAACTAAAAGCAAACAAACAGGCCCTAAATTATTGAAGACAATTTAGGATTCTTCCTGTTCGTCTTCTTCTTCCTCCTACATTCTTCTCTGATGAACTCACAACAGATATACGGTGGCTCTCCTCCGGTGAATCAGCCAGCGATCGGCAGCCAAACAGCTCCGGCGACTTATTCCAGACAGCAGCGGCAAGCATCATTGCTAAGCAAAAGAACTTGCCCAGTTTATAGTTGCTGATGTAGTATTCAGTTTGATACTGATTCACAGAAGGAAGTGCATCTGCCGTATGCGGTGGGCTACTGTGTAACCCAAAGTGTGAGGGGAGGTTAGGGTACCAGCAAGGGAAGCAATAGAACATAGGCCATATCCAGGAGGAAAATGGCGGGCTATTCAAACAATGAAAAGTTTATCAGTCTGGGCATGGACCGTAATGCCATTCGGATTAAAGAATGCAGGGCTACTCTTCCTTTTCGAACAACGGACAGCTCCGATTCATCTTCTCGGGGACAGCAGCTCCTCCGGCCCCAACTTCACCGATCTTCTCGAACTTCTTTCAGCAGCATTAGAATTATTGATTTTCGGCTCAGCCCATGGTGCGAATAGCCGAAGTAACTACACCTCAAGGTTGGAGGTAACTACACCACCAAAATCGGCCAGATAAAGGGCTTCTAAAGCTCACCCGTACTCACCGGAAAACTCGCTGTTTCTCTCCCTCTTTGCCCCCACTCTGAGATGTTATTTCTTACTCTCTTCTCTACCAGAGAAACTACATTTTCTATATATCTAACCCCATCTCTCTATCTCTTAAAATCCTCCCAAAACTAGTTTACCAGTGCGCACAAAAAAAAAAAAAAAAAAAACTCCTCCCAAAACCTAAACCGTTTTAACCCCAAAACTAATTTTTATAACTAATTCACAGGGTTGGGACTAAAGGTTTGAGCTTGGGAATTGGATTAAAGAGCTTAGGCCAAATTTAGTTGGTTTGACTAAAGAGTGGACCAACTTTAATTTATAAAGGTATTTGTTAGGTTAAATTTGAACGGTCAAAATTCACAAAATGTATTTAAAAAATTATTGGGAAAAATACTTTTAGTTGTTAAATTAATGTATTTAGAGTTTTAGAAAATAATGGAAAGAAATTCATTATTATAACTCTTAGACTTCCCTACGTTGATAATGATTATAATTGTATAGGATTCAAATAAATAAAGAAAATTATAAATAGCTAATGCAAATATTCATCGGATAAAACAACTTTAAAAAATTCGTGTTTGAATTAATTCACATGTACACAAAAATTGATGAAGACATGGGTGATCTGGATTTGATTTGAACCTGTGATCTTACGGTCTTCTACTGTATTTCATCGCTCTTCAATTTGGATGTTGTATGGGCGACAGGGACACTCCTCCAAGCAATTTTCATGTCTTAATCAACTGTTCACCTTCTTCAAATTTGTTTAACTTGAGATAAAAAAAATCTAGTTTTTATATTCTATAGTAGATAACCAAAAGTTTTCTTTTTTATAAAGTTGAAACTATTGTTGTATATAAAATTCATATGTTTGACTCAAACACAGTGTTAAAGCCTATTAACAAAAATTTGATGCACTAAAAAGTGTTTTTCTTCTTTTTTTTGAACAATAGTTTAAAAATAGAACTACAATATAATTTTAAATTAATTGTATTCCACAATTTATTTTCAAATATTTGAAATTATAATTAGTAAAGTTAAGTTTCTAGTATAATTAAAATTTTAAATTTTTTAAATTTGATATGTCAATTATAATTCTAGATTTCAATTAAAAATGGGTTTTAATTATCAACTAAGGAAAAACTCATTCACGGTGTTGAACAATATTATAATTTTGGATCTTAGTCATGTGTATTTCGTTTGGTATCCATAATTGACGTTCACATCTCATAGCACAAAGGAAATAGGGAGTGTGAATTATACTATTGAAAATTGATGAAGACATTGTTGAACTTTG